CCCTGCTCACTACCCTAGCTATGGAAAGGCAGTTTACTAAAACAAGCATCTGCTCAAGCTTTTGCAAGCCCTAGGTCAGCAGTTCTAGTTGAAAAGTAGAACTGCAAAACCAGTCTTGCTGCCCATGTATATGCTGCATCTATTGAAGGATCCTCTCAGAAGTTTTTTGTTATTCCTAAAGAAAACAAGCAGGCTGTCCCCCTCCCCAAGCCAAACCAAACACCTCTGCAACCCTCAGATCCTGAAACTTACAGGACTTGAACCTGTCCATTTCCAAAGACAGTCTCTGAAAACATGCTTCCCAACACAGCCATGTTCTCAACCTCATTATTTTCTGATGTTTTCTTCCCAGACTGTGCAGGGCTGCAGGCTATTGGTTTAAAGGGCACACAGCTGCTGACATAGGACTGCACAAAGCTCTACTTTGTCAGTTTCCCTTTCCAAATCACCCAAAGACTGGTGTATCCCAAATGCCAAGGAAAACACTTTCTCCTTTGCTTCCTGCCACTGAAACATCCCAGCCTGCACAGAATAAGGATAATGGCTCCAAGCACAATACCCTGCTTCAAGAGCCACCCAGCTTCTCCAAGCATCTTTTTTGGGTCAAGCAAGAACCTAGCCATGCCTCCCTTGCAGCAGTACAGATTGCCAGGTCCTGTTCTCCAACACCTTTGCTTAAACAGCATAGCAGTGCCACAGGATGCAGCTTGGATTGGCCTCAGGCATGTGGACTCCTTGAGGGATTAGACATATTAACTCCTCGACTGTTAGCAAGCATGTCTGGATCTTTCTTCTCCTTCCCCAAAAGGCTCAAACATATCATACAGGTCACAGAAGGGGACTGAACGCCAGCTTCTGACTTTTCAAACAGAAAACAGGCAGGGGGCTTATCTGAAAACACAAACAGAGAAGATCTTCAAGTGCAGAGGAGTCTGTGGCATTTGGGATGCCAGCAGGAGAACTGCCCCACGCTCACACCCCCCACCTCCAGGCCAGCTCTGTGCCTGAAGCCATGCCCAGCATGGGAAATGCTGGAAACAAAAGGCAAAGAAAATTGCTCAGCTGTTCAGGCTGACAGGTTTTAAGCCTAGAAAGGTTTTAAACATCGCGTCTTCCCAGTGTGCTCTTGCAATGATACAACGGGCAGGCAGGCAACCATGAATCACAACTGCTTGCTCCCTACGGACCCATTACGAGACACACGTCTCTGACCAAGATGTCATGGTAGGTGCTTTCTGTATACGGGGCAGATAAGACAAAAGACCTCAAGGGAGATGCACATCTTTGTCTAGAGTGACAGCATTACTTAATCATCCAGTTTGGTGAAATCACTGAGAAAAAAAAACTGGCACGTGGTTGTCACTTGAAAAGCAAACTTCAGTATTAGCAGCACACACAGACTGCGCTCTGGGAGCCATCCAAATAGGTGGCAGTTTCAAGAATATGGAAACTTAAGCAAAACCATGAACATGAAAAGGATGGCTAACTGAATCCTATCATTGCCACTTATGAATTATTCACTGGGCTTCAGCCCACATGCACACTTTTTAATGCACTGTGAGAATGCACTGCAGATGGCTCCCTGCTATCTCAGCTGGGAAGTCCCTTAGGAACATATTTTGCAGCAATCCCATAGGGGAGAACCAGGTACCAACCCATGTGCCTGCAAAGGGAATAAGGTCCCCTATTTGGCTGCAAGAGCTATAGGACAGTCAGGATAGAGGCCAGCCCAATTTCCACCTCCCCTGGCTTGTGGCATTGCTCACCATTTCTAGATATATGTTTTCTAGCAGAAAACATCTGCAAAATCCCACAGAAACAAGAGGTTTTTGACTTCTGAGAGGGTGACGGAGGAATGAGCCCTGTATCCAGAGCCTAATGCCACTGTGTCCTGTGTGGACCTGTCCCACCCCAAGTATCGCTAAGTCCCCAGGGAATGGAGGAGCACAAGTGTGCTGGGGTCACCAGCTGAGATCAGCTGATCTCCATCCTCTTGTCCACAAAACATTGTTGCTTCCTTGCTGTATTTCCAAATCTGATTTCAAAAGCTTACAGAAAAATGACATCAGTCTGAAAACGTCAGCCTGATTGTCAATGACAATTCTTTTTCTCATTATTTTAAGCTGGGGAGAGACAGAGAGGGGCAAATTATTTTGGCAAAAAATACATTTTTTCAGGAAGCAATCCCTCTGAGAGCCCAAATCGGACATAGTTTCTGCTGCCAAAAGCTCCCATGCACAGAAGAGGTGGTGTGCCCTGCTCCCTGCTCCCTGCACGTTCTCTGCAGTCCTGAAATTAGCACAGTCTTTCCAGAACGGACAAAAGCCAAACCAACAAAACAGATCCTGGCATTTCTCTGCAGTGCTGGGTTAGTGAATAGTTGCCAGTGGGACTCCCAGAGCCAGCCAGACCTACCTCATAGCATGCAATTTTTTCATTTTCCACAGCCAGTAGTTCATGTAGCAGGATTTCTCCTACTGCTGCAGATGGCCTTGTGTTGCTGCCTTTAGAGACTCAACTTCATTACATCAGTCTTCATTAACGTATAATCACATGACCAGAAAACCTGGGCAAAGGGAAAGAATGAGGCCCCAGATCTGCATCTCTTGGTGGTAATTTCAGGAAGAAGATGACCAGGCTGAGACTCCCTGAAGCCCCATGTGCTTTGCCTGCTCTTATTTGAGAAAGGATAGCTGAAGGTGATGCTTTTTCAGAGACATTCAGCATCTTTGGGCATGGGCAGGCATGGGCCACTCCACCTGCACACCTCTGTTACTTGCCTCAAAGGACATTTTTTGAAGGCACCTTAAGAAAACAGATATCCACTTTCCATGCTTGGCAGCTAGTCTGATTTGCAAGGCCCTCCTCTACAGCTGCTTTATTTCTGGCATGGACAAACCCATGATCGCCTGTGGGAGTTCGAAAAGAGCACATTACTAGGAAGCACATTTGATGCTACAGCTCCAGAAAACAGGCCTGTTTTTCCTCCTGAATGAGTGGTGGGGTGAGCCAGAGACACAACAAAATCCAGTCACCACTCCTCAATTTGGACAGAGGTTTGAATTAAACTTCCTGTTGAATCAAATACGAGAGCATACAGATGTAATTTCAACACCACACAGAAAGTTAAATACTCATGGCTTGATCTGTTAGCATCTCCCTTAATTGCAGCTCCACCAGGGCAAGCAGTGAGACTTAACCAGAAGGTACATTTACCCATTTGTCCTTAGCTTGAGCCATGTTTATCACAGGTCTACCATTTCCTATAATGGATCTTTCAATACAAGGTTTGAGGTGATAACTATGCAAGGGGGTTATTCTTGGCCTGATGCACAGGAAGGCAGCTATGTGGATAAATCCCATTGTAACTATGGGAAGTCTGTGATATAACTCACAAACCAGGACCATTTCCTCACTGTCTGCACTGATCAGCAATGAATCATCTCCTTTCATGCAGCTACATTTACTGAGGTTTATGTGGATTTAACTCTGCACATCAGGGAAAATCCAATGCCAGGAGTGAAATACCAATGCAAACCCACTAACAGAAAAATATGCCTTTTCCAGCAACAGAGCAGCCTTCACAACAGTAAAATAGTAAACAGCATTAGGACTGTGACACCCACTGATCTGCATTAAACAGGTGCCTTCAGCAGGTGTCATACTGCCATCCACTGATGTTCCTCCAGGAGATTTCCTGCCACATCCATCAGCAGCAACCCCGGCATGCCTTTATTTCCTCTCCTTGAGGTACATTTGATTTGTCCAACACTTCAACAGTCCAGTCTAATTACCAAGGACAGGCATCTGATGAACTGCAATGCAATCACACTCTCTGGCTGCTGGCTGCCAAGCTCGTGCACGTTCACCTGGGGAGTAGGAATGAAAAGCAGCCCTGCTCCAGGTAGGCTTGTTCTGCTCTGCAGTGAGGATCTGACCATCTCCATCTAGCTGTTATGCTGCATGCCACACCACCCCTCCTGGCTAAGACTGGTCTGTAAGGAGAAGACAAGGAGGGTCCTTGGGGATCTGGTTGCACAGCCTTCATGGTCCCAAATGCCACCGAGTCACATTCCTGGAAGGGCTCTGCAGCAGACAAGTGCCAATGGGGAGCCCTGAATTAAATGGCAGGAAGCAAGCCAGGTATGCAAAGGCAGAGACAGCCAAACACTGGGAATGAGGGACATGAGAAGAAGGATATAGAAAGGTCTTCAAGGCTTGCAAAAGCTGTGTGATGTGCCTAGTGTGTTGATGTGCATGGAAGGAGATGCAATCATGTTTTTGCCCTCCAATCACACCTCCAAATAACCTGGGACAATGGCAAATCCCTGCTTGTGTCCAAGGCGACAGCAATTTTCAACTGTTGGGCAAAGGAAGGACAAACAGATCTGAGCTCTGGACAAAGGACCAAACCAGTCTACATGAACTCTGCCTGTACAGGGCAAAATCAAGGACAGAGTATGCAACGACATCTCACCCCTACCCTGTTGAAGAAGCAGTGACTTCGTACCATATCTCACCAGCCTGAGTCCAGCTCCTTCAGCATTACAGTACATAAGAGAGATTAAATTTCCTAAAGTCACTCAAAACAATTTTCTTAGGGTAACTGTTTGCAAAGCTAGGACATTTTAACCATTGGCATATGGAATTAAAATGAACTCCTAGAAATTTCCCTTTCTTGTCAGGAGAGGCAACTGTTTTCTTTCTAGTTTAGTGAGTGGATACACCAAAATGCAAAGTGGAGGGATCGCCAAGTAGCTTAGCATAAATGGAAAAAGCCACAAATCCTAAAAGTGTGTCCTGCTGGAAGGAAACATGTTGAAGACTGCAACAGTTATAAACGATGAGACACAACTACCCACACACACTCATGTTTGAAGAAGCCCCAGTCCAGCCCTCCATGCTGGGGACTTCCATCCATTTCAAAGGGATGTCTGCACTGGGTCTAACTGGCTTGGGCTCCCACCCCAGACATTTCCCCAGGTCAAAGATTCACTTACCTGCCTGGTTTGTGGTTACATTTACAGACACAAACTGTCGGGCTCCAGGGTTCTGGTCGGACACTCCATTCACTGCCTCAATTTCAAAGGTATAGTTTGTATGAGCAAGCAGATCCACCATCATGACAGAGGTGTTTTTCAGGCCGGTTTGCTGGGGGAGGTACCTGACATGACTGCCACATGCCTCACACAGACCTGAGTGTGAGTTGCACTTCTTGCATGCAATATAATAAGACACATCTTTCCTTCCACCAGTATCAGCAGGGGGAATCCATTCCAGAAAGACACTAGTCTCGTTAACATTTGAGATGGCACTCCGAGGAGCAGAGGGGGGTCCTGGTTTGTAAAGTGAGAAAAACACATGGTAAAAACAGTATCATCAGTCATCCTGCTCTCTACTACTCTCTAGGCTGAAAAGAGATGCCCCGTTCCTCATGTGCCAAAGAGTGTATGAGAAGTATTTGCAGCAGCACTGGAAGAACTGGAAATATGGGGTTTGTTGTGAGCACTCTCATTTACCTCCAGGGGTCTGTGCTGGGATGAAGCCACCTGCATGGGAGGACAAGACATGGGGCTGGCTCAAACTCAACAGCAAGAGCACTGCACCCAGAGGTGTTGCGTCTGGTGCTCTCCTTGCTCTTCCTGTGAAGGGAGCTGCAAATCTCTGCTCTGCCCAAGTCACTTCTGGCTTTACAAGGGCAAGATTCGCCCTCCTCTCCCCACTGCCCCTATATTACTAGCCCTCAGTCCTAAAAAAGGGCATGCACTGGGGGCATTCACACTACTTAGGTACTCAGGAATGAATCTTTCCTCTGCATGCACCCCCGTCTCCTCATCGGCTGTTTGGCAAGACTAAAACTTGAGTTTGGGCATCCAAATCACACCGAAGTGAGATGCTCAATGTAGCCTAAAGCAGATGGTGATCTACACAGCCCACTGGAAACACGGTCATGTCCAGCTACTCAACATCATTCACCTTGGTCCCTGCCAAGCTCCAGCACGGCTGGTGAGCCTCACCGCGCTTGCTTGTTTTGCCAAGCCTCCCCACTCAGGCTGCCAGTGTGGTGCTGGCAAGGCTGTCCAAGGAGGAACAGCTGCTGCAGAGGTACTGGGGCTCCTGCAAAAGGCGAGCTGTTTTCCTTCATCCTGTTGGGAAAGGCCACAGCTGAGCAAGCAAAGCCCACCTGGAGACACCTTTAGGACTGCTTACTTGCAGGGGGTGCTGCGAGCTTTTTCATTTGGACAGGCTTGTGCTGGAGACAAAGGGCAAGCTGCAGATAGAAAGGACAAGCAGGAATCTCATGCAAGAGGTCCACACATTATATACTCAGGGAATGCTAATGTATGAGGAAGAAAGGGAAAATTTACCAAAGCAAGCCAGGATGGTTTTTAGTCATGGCCCCACCAGAAGCAAAGAATCCCAGCAAAGACTGGGATTTTTCCGAGAGAGGTAGAGGAGGAAAGGCAACACACTCCTCTTGGGTCCAAATAAAGCTGTTAAACCTACGAGCCCTTGAAAAGAGCCCAACAAGTAACTTCACCAGACAGAAATCCATACAAATTTAACAGCCTGTCTTAGGCTCTCATCTTCTCGTTTTGTTATGATAATTAAACTCGATTCATTATTTAAAACAGGCAGTGTTGCAAAAATGAAACTACCCTATAAACCAGAAGCATCTTCCTCTATTTCCCTTTCCTATTTCACTTTTGAAGTCTATAAAATTGGTAACACTGATGAAACACTGTCATGATTTCAGCACCAAGCTGCTCTGATTCAATGAGAAACTTGCTGCCAGAGAAAATAAATAATCCTGATACAGATATATATATTTTTTTCCTTTGGGGAAATGAAGTTGAAGATCAAAGCTAAGTTAGTTTAGGAAATGGGAGATCAGCTTTGCTTTGTTCTGTGATCACTTCAGATTACTATGAATGGGGAGCAAGCTGCTTAAAATCTGCTCCACAGGGACTCAGCTCTTTTTAGCTAATGACACCAAGGTATAGTCCAAGCCAGGACTATTCTCTGCACTGTCATACTTGTACTGCTATCACAGCCACTATGAAATTCATCACTGGAGCTTTGTGGAGTTATATATATTACACTCAGGGGTTTTTTATATGTTTTTACTAGAGAAATTGCCCTATTTTTTCTTCTGCTGGATGAATGCCCTTTTACTGCTAGCAGTACTCCAGGAAAAACAAAGAACTCGGGCACAAGAAACACTTGCTTGACAATGTGTCTTTAACGAGGGATAAATTATTACTTTTGTAAAGTCACCAGAGTTTTTTATTTGCTTTGTACAGAAGAGTCAGCTGCTCTTCTTGAAGGCTTAAAAACATCAACTTCAGTGGAAGTGCTTTGAAGCTAGTGGGACTTCATAGCCTATAAAATTAGCATTCTCACAGGGACTCAGAGAAAGGTCTTTAATAGTCTATAGATATCTAACAAGACCTACTTCAAAAATCGTGAAACCGCACTTGGGTAAAACTGATAAATCACAGCTGGGAGAACAAAATAATGTTTTGTCTTCAGAAGAGCAGAGCTCTAGGTCTGCTAAGAAGGTCTGTTTTAATCTCCAACCTCCTCTTGTCAAGGACAAAGATACTACTTTACTGATTTATTTATTTTTAATTTGCTACTTTATACCCTAAGCAGGGAAGATTTACCCCTTCTGCACCACAATTTACTGATCAGAGGCAAATACTTTCTGAAGGCAAAGATATTGGTATTTTTCTTGATGGACAGCAAACCTGTTGTTTGCCAATGCACATATTTTTAAAATCTACCCTGAGAGAAATTTGAGATACAAACATATATACGTACACACTTAAAGGTAACTTTAGACTTTCTGCAAGTAGGATATTATACTAAATACCATAAAATCTTCAGTTTTTCCCGTGCATCACACTACTAAAAATACTTCACCAATATGCTCTGAGCAGCAATAGGGCACAATTACTTCCTGGAAGATACATAATAATATTAAGAGAATTCTCAAATGCCCATCAGGGGTTTTAATTTATTTATTTATTTTCTCTCTGAGGGCGATAGTTATTTCAGACTGCATTACAGCACTATTAATTTCAAAACTACCAATCATTATTTACAAAACATGCTTAAGGAACTAGAAAAATTAAATAAAAACGTACTTAATTTCCCCCTCTTCCTTCTTGTACTTATCTGAGCAGTTAACAGTGGTGTAGCAGTTTGGTTTTTGTACTGATGGTGGGGGACACACTCATGCAGTTTGGGATTGAAAAGCATTTTCTTTAAAAAAAAATACTATTTTATAGCTATACTAACTGGCAAGGAGACTTTGCAGGAGTAGAGCTGAAAACGAAAATTAATATATTCTCTAACTAAATTTGAAATTGAGGGAATCCTATGAATATTATTAACAATTGCAGAAATAAATAATAAAAAGAAACAAAAAACTTGCAGTATTTTCCTACCACTCATGACTCAAGTCTGTCTCACTTGTGTTTTGGTTCACAATGACATACTCCCTTCCAGATTTAGTTGGACTGGGTTCAAACATTCGTGTCACTACCTACTCTTTATTGTTCCTGCCAAAACTTATTACCCCTGCAGTTAAGCAGGGACAACACATGGGCCCTCCTCATCACCTTCAGCACAAATATAGCTGCATTAGGACAAAAAGCTAAGAAAGGATGTGCAGGGCAAGCAAGGGTAACTGAAGCACATGGAGAAGGCTCAGATGATCCACTCTGCTTTTGAGATAGTGAGCGTGAATGCCAGCAGAGATGCTGCAACATCCTCAACTGCTGCACCAGGGTTTGCAGTGGGCAACAGAAGCTAAGCAGTGCCTTGATCAGCATTAAACCTTTCATCTGCCTCAGAAACACTCAGTACCCTGCCAAGCATATCCTAACACAGCTTCAGGCACCATGCCTGTGCTTTAAATTAGCTTATAGTAAGCTTTCAAAACAAACAAATAAAAATACCTGCCCAAACATTAAAACCAAATATATACAATCACATTGTATTTGCAGAATCAGAAATTACAGCCTTTACCTACAAGATTCAAGTTGCACCAGAAACCCGAGGGAGACAGGCACTCAAATTTCATTTCTTTTTAACATGAGCTTGTCACCAAGCCTGCCTGTGCCTCTTAAAATCCTGCCCTATGCCCAGGTCACAGGCATGCATAAACCTCTTCCTCCAGGATGACAGCTCATTCCCTGTGCTAATTCACCAGCAGCATGGAATGGATGTGTACTCCTCCATCCAGAGGAGAGACAGAGAGCAACACGTGGCTGGCAGGAGGCACTGTGGACACTCACAGTCTGGCATAACTCTGTATTAGTCCCTGTCTTTGGTTTTCTCTGCACGGAAAAACCCATTTTATATGTGTTTATAGCTCAGACTATGCCCTCTTGCTTCCCATTTTCCAATACCACACTGGACCTCATAATCTCTCATTTAGCTATGGTCTTTAAGTCAGGGTAAGGGGCAAAATAGACATCAAGAAGCTCTGGTATCAAAGTTTTTCATGCTGTAACCCACCTTAGCTAGTGCTTCAAAATACACTGACTTACCTATTTAACAAACTGAGAAGTGCTTGAATGACGCACTCCCCCCTGGCCACTATGATCCTACAGCACCAGCTACTGCTATGTTGACTAAGGCTGTCTTTTCCTTCCCTGCAGTATATCTTACAAAAGCCACATACTTCATGTTTCTTTGGCTGGTAAAAAGCAAATGTGGAGTTCAAGGATCCTGATTCTGCTCAGAGTGCCTCCTGCAGGCAAGAAGAAACCTGCCAAGGGCAACTTTCTTTGCAAAAACGTCTCTCCAACAAGAACAGGCTTTTTTTTTTTTTTTTTTTTTTAAGTGCAAACTTGGGAAGCTTGGAAGGACATCTGTATTCACAGGGATGAAGGCAAAAAAAGCCACTATCATGCCCACACAATGCAAGGAAGCAGTATGGAAGTCACCTCTGGGCCATTGCCCAGTGGCTCTGAATGTGCCACGTGCCAAGGACTCATAAACCTGCTTCTTCCTCCATCACTTAAGTTCCTTGGAAGCTCTACCTTCCTCTACCCCAGTAGTTCAGCTCCTCTTCAGTCCTTTTTAGCCACTTTTGTGCTGCAAGAATCACACTCAGAGCATGACAGACCCAGCTTAGCAAAAGACTGTGGTCTGTGCTACATTCACCATGACTAGCTTGGGGCGTGGAAACTGTGGCCCTGAGTATCTGAAACATAAACTGAACAAGAAACTTTCAAGGAACAGCTGACAGGTTGCTCACAGATATCAGGAAAATGGCAAAATTAGTGATTCTGATTCCACCGACTGCACCTTGGCTTCCCAGTACCCCAATTTGCTTGTTATACTACCCTCCCCTCTACACGAAGGAGATAAGCTCCACATTTTTTTCCAAAGCTTTGAAGAAGCAGTTTCCACTGCAGATTTTTGAGGCTACCCTGAAGAATTACCATCTCCAGGCAGCTTGGAAAGGTAGGGCTATCTCCCTACTTGTTTACTAAAAATGAGCTAAGAGATGACACTAAGCAGGATCACACAGACTTTATCTTTGCCTACCCCTGACAAGAGCCACCCATCATTTCCTTCTAAATCTGTGCCCCACACTGGTCCCCAGGCACCCACCGATGTGGGTACCTGAATGCCACACTGCTGGTTAAGTCCATCCTAGAGAGGATGGCAAGAAAAGGAGGATCCATTGGTTACAAAAAATGTTTCCTGGTTTTAATACCAGTTTTTGAAGCAAAAGACTTCAAAAAGTCTGGTTTCATGTTGCTGAGGGTATGGTGGACAAAACCAGTCTCATTACAACTGTGTCAAGAGTAGTTCAGACTCCAGCTCAGAGCCTGTAAAAGTACATTAATTAGGATAATCATGTCTAGTCACAATACAGGAACAGCTCAAAAGGATTAAAAACAACCCTATAAGCACATGCTTACTTGTACAGGCCATTGTAGGTGGGTCTGATTCCTTCCTAAAATAGTGTTCTTCACACAGGCAAGATGTGGATGCTTCATCAAGCGTGTAGCTGTGAGGGGGACATTTGCTGCAGGATGGACTGTGGGGTGAAGCTTTGAAGAACCCAGGTCTGCATACTGTGAAAAGAAGAACCACAGGCTAAGCTCTCCCATCATAAAATTAGTCTCTTCACATTTCCTTTAAAAATAACCCCAAAACATATCTTCTGCTAGAAAACAGACAAACATTTTTGAGCTATTTCGTTTGCATATTTTTAAACAGTCTATGCCACTAACAGACCGTGCATACTTAAATATCTGTATGAAAAGAGAATGAGAAGCTGTTGATTATTTTTTCCCCTAGCATCTGTCTTTTCTGGGTATTTATTTCCCTTGTTGAATGCATCTTTTGGGCTCTGCTTTAGAAAACATTGTGTTTGAGGCTTTTTTTTTTTTTTTTTTCATTTAGTCTTAGAAAAACAGGTAAAATACATCTCACAGTTTTTATTTAAGATGTTCCACACCCAGAAATTAATGTCTCAGTAAACAAATAGCAACATGGTAGTGGAGGGGATCTCAAGATTGACAGCTTTAAGACATTGTGATAAGGTTACTTCCCTAGGGTCTTTTCCTCTGCAAACCTGTGGTGAATTTTAAAGTGCTCCATGTAAGACAGACTGCTCTGGGTATCGGCTGAATCAGGCACACTCGTCATGCAAGATATTCCTTCCAGCTCCAATATATATGCATGAGGCACAAAGACTTGATATGTGAGTGTGGTGGGTTGACCCTGGCTGGAGTCCACGTTCCCACCAAAGCCACTCTATTACTGCCCTGCTCAGCTGGAAGAGAAAATATATCAGAAAGCTCACAGGTCGAGATAAGGACAGAGAGAGATCACTTACATCACAGGCAAAACAGACTTGACTTGGGGAAATTAGTTTAATTTATTACCAATCAAATCAGAGCAGGGTAATTAGAAATAAAAACAAACCTTAAAACACTTTCCCACACCCCACCCTTCTTCCAGGGCCTAAATTACTTTGCTCCTGATTCTCTACCTCCTCACCTCCAGCAGCACAGGGGGACAGAGAATGGGGGCTGTGGACAGCTCATCGGACAGTGTGTCTCCCACTCCTTCCCCCTCAGGGGTAGGACTTCTCACACTCTTCCCCCCCAAAGTGGGGTCCCTCTGACAGGAGATAGTCCTTCACGAACCCCTACAACATGAGTCCTTCCCACAGGGTACAGTTCCCCAATATCTGCTCCAGCATGGGTCCCTTTCATGGGGAGCCACCCTTTAGGAACAGACTGCTGCAGTGCAGGTTCCCCACGGGGACACAAGTCTGGCCAACAAACATGCTCCAGCCTGGGCTTCTCTCTCCATGAGCCCACAGGTCCCACCAGGAGCCTGCTCCAGCACAGGCTTCACACAGGGTCACAGCTTCCCTCAAGCATCCACCCTCTTCAGTGTGGGGTCTTCTGTGGACTGCAGGTGAATATCTGCTCCACTGTGGACTACCATGGGCTTCACGGGGACAACCTGCCTCACCATGGCTTTTACCACAGGCTGCAAATCTCTGCTCCAGTGCCTGGAGCATCTCCTGCCCATCCTTCCTCACTCACCCTGGTGTCTGAAGAGTTGTTTCTCTCACATATTCTCACTCCTCTCTATGGCTGCAATTGCATCTCTCTTTTTTTTTTCTTTCACCCTTTTAAATACACTATCTCAGAGGCACTTCTACTCGAGCTGATGGGCCTGGTTTTGGCCAACAGAGAGTCCACCTTGGAGTCCACTGGCATTAGCTCTGTTGGACATGGGATAAGCTTCTAGAAGCTCCCCTGCTACCAAACCTTGCCATGCAAACCCAACACAGAGCTATTTTTGTTCTCACAAGCATACTGTATGACTAAGGGTAGCTTGGGATCTCCTCTCCTCTAGTTTGAATTAAATACAGTAATGCCTGCCTTGTTTCCAGCCTCCTGAAACAAGTGCTCTTTCACCTAAGCAAAGCACTCTGCACTTCACCTGCGTGTGCACACTCAGCCAGGGGCAGGTTTGTACGTACCTACCTCGGCTTTAAGAAAAAAACAGCTGGCCCTGTAATCATGCTGTTATATTTTGAATTACAAATCCACTGTTAGCAAATTTAGGAAAACTTGATTTTCTCTTTGTTTCAAAAAGCAGAGACATGGAGACAGGTCAAAGCAGCTCCAAAGTGCTGCTACTTTTTTTCCTTCAGAGATGCTCTAAAATAATTCTGCCCAGTGTGATATAAAAAATGCTATCAGACTTACAGAAGTTACATGGAAATCCCAGAGCCTTTCCATTCAAACTTTTTATTCAAATTTTCCCAGTTGTAATTATCTTGCAAAGGAAATGAGCTCAGAGCAAAAGCATTAATATTATCCCATCAGGAATGTCCCAGACAATCAAATCACAAAAGTAATGTGCTAAATGTGATAACAGAATTCATCTTCACCATGGATAAAATACAAGTTTTTACTAGTCATTCCTTTTCCTCTGATGGACCAAGTAGGGCACCTGCCTTCAAAGTTGGCTCTAATTCCTGTAGTACCAAACTCTCTCAGCATCTCTTCCTGTTTATGTCACTAGCTTCTTCACCAAAGGTAAGACAATTGCGCATCAACGCTTAACTCCTGGGGCCATCTAGCAAGCCTTTGCTGTTGAAGATCACTCATACATCAGAAGCGGTGCGATCCAAGAGCGTCCAATAGACCTTCCCCAGGCCCCACCTCCAGTCTTGCCCAGACCACAAAGCTCTCACAGCAAGCACCATGCAACCCTGACACAGTTCCCAAGCCCACCACAGGCTGTCAGGTCTTCATCATGCATCTGCAGCCTCTCCATCCTACTCTAGGGGATGCTAATCTCCAGCATCCCTGCTGACTTCTCCAACATGTGCACCTTCCTACACCTTCCCCAGCTCCCTTTTCTTCCAACAAGACAGGCAGAGAACAACTAGTAGGACTAGAGGGATTTACAGATTTTAAAAATTCTATTTCCACAATTGCTCATCAGCCCACTGGTGCTCCACACCCAGGCCGTGAGCTCTGCAGGATGCAGTTCATCTGCTTTGTTTCCATACATGAGGAGGGCAGAACTTACTCCTGATGGCTGTTAGCAGATTTGCTGTGAAGCTGCCCTCATGCTTTACAGTACATTCCTCAGTTTCTAGCACAGAATTAAGCTCTTTTTCACAGCCACCTTCAAATGCTGGCCTACCTACAGCAAGGACTTATATGGTCTCTGGAGAGTCTTCTAGGACAGGAGACCACCAAACAGCTCCTCTCTAGCTTACAATTTGTATTTCAAAGCCAAATCAAACTCAATTGCACACACAGACAATAGAGATGGGGAAACGAGAGCACAGAAACATACAACATAACGAGGGCAGCCCACGTCTAGTGTGTACTCGATGTAATTAGCCTTCAAAAAGGACTTGAATTTATCTCATTATGTCCCATCAAGACAGACAGAAAATCATTATGGCACAAGAGTTTGCCGTGCTTGTATTTTGTGCAAAGCAGCAAATACAAAATAAGTCAGTTTTCCTTGACGGATTTTCAACGAGGTGCAGCTTGTTAATGACGGTATGATACGTAGCTCAGCTCAAAGGGAATGGTTGGGTTTCGTGAATAAGTACAGAGCCAACAACCCATATTTTAATGAGGGATGTGTAATAAAACTGAACTGGACCAATTTTCATATAATCTGCAGGCTCCCATGGGTCAGGCAGGTCCCTTCACTATCCAAAAGGTATAAGGAGGAACATTCAAGAGCATTAAATTACATTGAAGATTTCAACATGAGTCCTCATAACAAACAGCGAGCAGAGCAGCACACTGCTGTATCTGTGTGAAATACTCTTGTGTCAGTTAGAAAAGGAAGAATTCACAGATAGGAGATGGGAAATGCAAAAAAGAAGGACAGAAAATAAAAACAAATGCACAGCAAGTAGTGGTGTGCCAAGTCCAGACCCCTGCACCTGATGCTTTTGGGAGGACAGAGGGGATGGGCAGGGTTCACCCAGCATAGCCTTCAGCCTCCTGCAACCAGCAGCTTGGGGATCACTCCTGATGGAAACTGTGCTTGCACTACAGTGCTCAGGAGCAGAAGCAGCCACAGCTGCACAGGTGTTTCAGGCTTAACTAGCACCTATTGTAATGCTTTTCTCTGCACCCTGTCCTGTGCTTGCTTTGTACATGACACAAAGGAAAGGATGGTTGATGAGGTGATTCAAGCAGCAGGGATGCTGTGATGAAATGGATGCTGTTTGATGAAAGCTGACCCAGGAACATCTTATACCTCCACACTGCAGAGCAGGTACCATGGTAGCCAGATGGGCAAAGTCTTGGCTGAGCTCAACAGCCAAAAACAGGGGCTGATACTCTGTCATTTTTCTGCCACTAGTGGCAATGTCTCTCATATTTTGGAAATTTAATTTAGAAAAGGACCACGAACAGCTTACCTTCCATGTACCTTGGGCTTTGGTCTATCTTACCATTCCTCTTCTGACAGACAATCTTACCATCTCTTAATGAAGCATACATGACTTTTATTTAAAATTATATGGGTGTCTGGGGCTTACTTTCTAATTAAATCTTATTTTAGTCTTCTTACATTTTTATCTCAGTATTTCTAATTCAACAACTCTTGAAAGGATACACAGTACAGTCATGATGAGCCTAAGAATCCCCGTTATCTGTTGCAAGCCAGTTGAAAAGAAAGAAAAGTTTTACAGTGTTGATGAGATCAGCTTCCTTATTCCTAATATTAAACCTGGTAACTCCTTAATTGATTAACAGCCACTGATGTGTGAATATAGTCTTTAAATGAAATTGTTTGCTAGAAAAAAGTATTTTTAGACAAAGCAAATATGTCTTAAACAACCTGCTGGTGTCAGATACAAGTGGGATGTGTTTCTGTTAGTAGGACATACATTATTAGCAAATTAATTTAATTCTCTTTATTTTTAGAGGAAACTACAAAATGTTGCAGGCACCAAGCATTAACATGTGTGCAGCCTCTCACTTGTTAACTTCAAGATGGCCCAGAGAGAGATGGCTGCAATGAAGGACAGCAGCAGGAGCCTCTGGAGACAGGAATGGTGTTG